GAAGAAGGTTGGGTATGAAAACTAGCACATCATCACTGCAGAATGCAGAATTACAAGTAGGATAAATATACCAATTGGGCGGGATATAAATTAAATAAATAAATAAATAATTAAATAGATGGGCACCAGAAACATTTTCATGAATTGTAAAAGCCTCAGTTCAAAAAGGCAGCCTTGTTTCATTCTCACACCGGAGACAAAAATATTTCTCATGGAGAGTAAATTCATTGACAAGGTGTCCCAATTAAAAAAAAATTGTGAGGATGTTTCACATGCCTAATATTGAGCAGATAATATATATCTTTGGTAAACAAGATAATGGCTGATATAGAAGAATAAAGAGATTAAAAGCCTTGAGGACAAGTGTTGATGGTATCTCTATGCGCTCGTTATGTGAGGCACCACTGTATCGTTGGTAAACAAGATAATGGCTGATACAGAAGAATAAAGAGATTAAAAACCTTGAGGACAAGTGTTGGTGGTATCTCTTTATTACAGTAGTTCCCAACCTTGGGTAACCCTGGCGTTCTTGGACTGAAACTCCCAGAAGCCTTCACCACCAGCTATGTTGCCCAGGGTTTCTGTGACTTATAGTCCAAGAACACTTAGGTTCCTCAAGCTTGGGAACCACTTGTTCTATTAAATCACAAACATATGAAAAACTGAAGCTAGATTTGAATTCCAGAGGAGTCTACATCAGGCTGGGCATTACAGAGCTGAGAATGGTAAAGAACAGAGATGGGCACAAACCTGTGCTCTCCACCTTCCCAGCTGGATCCTCCAGTTACCAACCAGTGTACATTCCTCTCCTCCTCCTCTTTTGCTGTTTGACTAATCTATGGCAGGAGCATGGGCTTCCCTGCCCTGCCTTCTTGGCTGATCAACCACTCAGACAAGGAGGCAGGAGAGGCAAACCCATGCTCCTGCTGGGGACTGGTTGAAAAGTCAAAACAAAAGATTCCTGCTGGGGACTGGTTGAAAAGTCAAAAAGAAAGATGAGAGGAGTGTGCAGCAGCTGGTGAGTGGGTCATTGGCTGGAGAGACAGGGGAAGGGAACACTCGGCACCTGTGGTGCCATGCCTATGAGTCGGCATGAAAATATGAACCAAGGTTTGTGCCCATATCTAGCACAGAAGAGACACAGATGTTCCAAAATCCATGGCCATATGTGTGAACCAGATTTCCATATTCAAAATATGATGAAAATTTCTGCAAGATCATAAGCTAAACACAACTGGTGATTGTTTCATAGTCTAATAGAGGTACTACACATTCTTACCTTTGGAACGTACAGTAAAATGTCTACTAATGTTTTCAAATCGTGATATTTGGAGACAGAACTCACTCCTTCTCTGGCTGAATTGGGTGTTAGTAGTTGCAGGGGTTTCTTCTTATTTGGCAATAGTTATTTTGCCAGTTTAACAGAGATTAACAGTGCTATCAATTACAGTATCTGAAACAGTTTATCAGAGCCTCTGAGATTAGTCTTTGCATATTTCTGCACAATAGAAAAATTGTTGTTTAGTTGCATTGATAATAAAAATAGTAAAAGCATTTGATGTGTGGTTTGTATCTTTGTGATCAATCAGCTTATCATTCAGTGCTTGCTGTGCATTGTGTCCTTAGCTGCAAAAAGGGTAAAGGCAAGTTGTTGTTGTTGTTGTTGTTTAGTTGTTTAGTCATGTCTGATTCTTTGTGACCCCATGGACCAGAGCACGCCAGGCCCTCCTGTCTTTCACTGCCTCCCGGAGTTGGGTCAAATTCATGTTGGTTGCTTCGATGACACTGTACAACCATCTCATCCTCTGTCGTCCCCTTCTCCTCTTGCCTTCACACTTTCCTAACAAACATGGTCTTTTCCAGGGAGTCTTCTCTTCTCATGAAATGGCCAAAGTATTGGAGCCTCAGCTTCAGGATCTGTCCTTCCAATGAGCACTCAGGGTTGATTTCCTTTAGAATGGATAGGTTTGTTCTCCTTGCAGTCCAGGGGACTCTCAAGAGCCTCCTCCACATAGATATGACAAATTGAGGAAACAATGACAGGATTATAAACCATCTGCAACCTCAATCTCAGACTAGAAGCAAGATCTCTCAAAGGAGGTGGAGCATATTCTGGATGCTGTCTAGCCATACTGAGATGGCCACTCTTGTTGGAATTATATCAACCTACATATTATGCTTTTAGGAGGTTTGGATGGGAGAGAATTTGGGGTGAATGTCAATCACATAGTTTAAAAAAGCAAAGCAAATTATACAGGCTATACATTGCCCCCTACCCCAGCATGCTGCGTACTTATTTTACCAAACTCAGAAGGATGAAAGGCTGAGTGAACCTAAAGCCAGCTACCTGAGATTGAACCACAGGTTCTGAGCTCAGTTTTGGCTGCAGTACAGAAGTTTAACCACTGCACCACAAGTAGCAGCAATTGTTCTCCCTCAGATTGCTTTTCCTGCCTTTTTCTTTTACTCAGTCACTGTTCTGAGTCAGTTAGCAATGTTAGTGTTTTGTGAGTTAGAGAGTATTAGTCAAGGAGTCAACAGTTACCAGTTTGAGTGAAGTGTTTATGTTAACAGTCAAAATAATGAAGTTATCCAATTAAGATACGCTATGTAACTAGTAAACATATTTGTTTGTATTCTGATATATATGCTTTTTGTGAGTAAAAAAAAAACTTAAAAAAAATTCTTTCTCAACACCAGAGTCTATGACTGAATCTATTGAGACTATATAACCAGTTAAGGTAAAACAAAATAACAATAAGGGCTGGTATATTTGAGGGGGATTTCCAGTGTAGTGGATAGAGTGCTAGACTAGATCTCTGGAAAAGAGTTCAAATCCCCATTCAGCCATGGAAACTAACTAGGGGAGAAGAACTGGCAAAACCATTCCTTAAATATTTTACTTACCTTGAAAATTTTATTAGAGTTATGATAAGTCAATTCTGACTTACTGGCACAGAACACACATATTCAAGGGAGATTTGTAATTATAAAAATCTGCTTTGTGTGTCCTTGTATAGATTTTTTTCTCTGCTGTGTAGTGTGAGGTTTTAAGTCAGCAATTTCCACATATTCTGCCCAATAACTCTAACCTAGCATCTCACTAATTTCCAGATTTCCTGACATCCATGAGTTTTGGATAGGACTTTGGAGCCTCACAGTTATCAAGTGCCTTTCTGAACCCATGCAAGTAAAGTAGAAGCTGAGGAGGCACATTATTTTCATTGCCTCCTCCCCCTTTTGCAGAGTCTTATAATTGGGCCTCTCTCATGGATGAGAGAGAGGAATTAATCTACACTACTTTCAGGCCTGGCACTGAATTTTATTCTGTTTGTAGCTATGCCTCTGACCTAGACATCATGAATTTAACATGAAGGATCTGTGGAGGTGCTGCTCTACCATGTTGATACCTCTGTCCTATTTGCTCTGTTCTGTGGTCATCCTGCAAACACACAAATGCCCCTGATTAAGTTTATTTGTCTGAAGGCAATGCACATTTCTGCTTATTGTGTATAGACCATCCACTTTATCTCTGAAGGCAGGGATACCTAGAAAAGGACATAGGAGAAAATCTCCATTAGAGATGGTGAAAAAGATGCACCCAAAATTTATAACTGATGCAGTCTA